CCGGACCCTGATGATAAAAAAAGGCGAAGTACGGGAGATGTTTAAAACGGAATGCCTATGGCTACATAGTCACCAGTACATGCCTACAATACGTACCAGAATTTTAGCAAGTAGATCCCTCCTACGGTCGCTGCCGTGATTACGTTAAATCTTTCTTGGAAAAAATAACGAAACGCAGATCTTGATCGAATTACGCGGTCTGTAAACAATGGTGGCTCAACAGGATAGGATTCGAGTGCCCCAACGTAACCCATGCCAATACTGTACACTGCCTTCTCTGTGTAACAATGACATGCTCAACGTGTTTTGAACTTATCTTTACTCATGATAGAAATGTTCATGCATGCTGACTGTACTCTTCAAGAAAATAGCAAGCTTCGCGCTGGTGGAGATCAAGTTCATTCGCAATGTGCTTTGGCCTTTAGACTCGCAAGAAAAAAAAAGCACTAAAATCCGCTTGGAGCCTACAGTGTGGTTGGCGGTGCAGGAATGAATACTCCTGCGCGAGCAGAGAACATGGGTTGCCTACATGTATTGCACTTGACTCCATTAACAGCTTAGTCTCTTTTTTTTTTGCCTGCACTGCCACCTGCGCTCAGAGAAATGGGGGCACAATGTGCGAGTTAAACCACTATCTAATGTCCATCGCTGCCCTTTTTCACCAACTATTACGTGTGTCTTCCCCCATTAAAGCTATGATTTCCTCTCTCGGGTTGCTGGGTAATCCGGTGGTGCTCTTCAGAAGTCTCCAACTCCAACTTGAGTCGTGTTGCGTGCTTGTGCCGTCCAATATCCTGAATACATGTACTGTATTGATCCATAGTCCCCATTCAGTGTGTAAAGTAAGAGGATTAATGTGGGTACCACTTATCCTGGAAAAGTCACATATATGGTCAAACTGGCGATGGAGAGGAGACGGAGAAAGGTACCACCAATCTCAATCGACAGCGAGACCACTAGAGCATACCTGCTGTGAGGGCACTTTTTTGATAATAGATGGACACCAAAAGAGGATAATATAAAAGAGATCAAGTGGAAACCCTCTGCCAGCTTTTCCCCATAATCTTTCTTAAATTTTAAAAACCGATGGGAATTTTAAGGCTATTTCCAAATTCTCTAAACTTTCAAAGTTCAGGGGCAAAAGGCCTCACCAGCCATATTTTTCTTCTTTCGGAGACCCGTGGAGAAAGTACACAGTAAGCTCTTCGCTCCGGGGGTGATATCGGCCAGAGGTAGATTATCATGCATGTCGACAGTGGCACAATGGTGCAGATATTACAACCTTGACCTGCTGCAATACGACAGCCCAAGTTCCTCCTGCTTGTCCTTCCACTACAGATCAGTGCACTCCGACACCATGTTTGCCAAGAGAACCACGCAAAAGTTTATGCTAAAGGAAAAACATCTTTATGTGGAAGCTGATAAGCTTTATGGATAGGGGGCGTGGGCGTGTGGGCGTCAACAACAGCCTAAAGAATCAACCAATGTTACACCTCCGTTGCTTCGGACGAGCTCTCGCCCCGTTGTTCGCCCACTCGCACCGAAAGATTGATAGTGTAGACTACGTAGTAGGCTACGGAGTGATTACATTACTCTTAGTACGTCAAAGCAAACGTAGCTGTGCAAGGACGGAGATATCTAATCTACACCGGCATTGTGTATCGGATGATTCTTTTCAAAAAGGCTAAATCTCTTTCTCGGCTGTAGCAGCACGCTCCGCTCGGCTAGGTTCTTTGGAAAAGGCCTGGATGTAGCTTTGGACCATTTGTATTCCTCTATCGGAAGCACGACCCATGTAGATCGGCATGCAGTAGTGAGTTTACCTCTCCACGATCAGCGACACAGCGCATCCTAATCCGATGAATCCACTTGCGAGGAGAAATATGAGTTTAAGGTCCATAGGCAGCAGAAGAATCATCCATTTTGAAGCCCCGTTGTTCATCGCCGCTTCCTTTGCGGCGTTGGTGAGCATCCCCCGATGGGCATCTCGCAACGTCGATACTGCTGCTGTGCTTTGTGACTACTTTGGTCGCAGCCACGCTGCATGTTGGTCACGAAAAATACACCAAAGGCAAGAAACTGGTTACCAGCATGAGGGATCGCTCATTACTCCACCCACTCACCCCCCATTCACCCCATGCATCTGATCCATCAGCACGTTTGTAATTGCCATCCTTGTCATATAAGACACCTCCAACAGTACCCTGAGCTCGAGTGAAAGTTGCCCCTCTTTTTATGTTAGCCAATGACTATCGAGACAAAAAGAGGGCTCCTCGGCAAGGAAGAGGGAGGGCAGAAAAAAAAGAAGAGCACCCATCAGCCAGATTCAGACTTTGGCCGAAAAGCTAATAGGGCATCGGAATAGAACCCTCTTGAGAGTGTTGAGAAGGGGGGGGGGAGAGACGGCATAGATAATTATCAAGTGCGGGAAACGGACCTGCATGGCCACACTCTGTCTAAACAACAGCCGCGATTTTTTTTTCGAATAGATGCTAAGGAAGGTTGGCGCGAGTGGGGGATTCAATGGAGTAATGGAGAACGTGAGAGCAATAGTTGCCCCACACCTTTTGAGGCACAACACTCCCCCTGGATGGGACCTGATCATAGCGGCTAATCCTCTTACCTATTGGCTTAGCGCGACAACAAGAAACAATACTAGACTGCGCCTTGATTGCCGACACACGAAAGACGGTTTTCCTACTCGCATGCAAGGGAAAAGACCCTGCACGGGTTCATCAAAGAACTGTATGAATGGTAGATTATTCTTACCTCGTGCTCCCATGTCTTCAAATTCAAGAAAACGTGGATATGGGTTAAAGTGTTTTATTTTGTATGATTAGAGCGACTTCTATAGCCAAGGGATGAATACTGCGAGGAAGAGTGAGTTAGAGTGTATGTGGTCAGAGACGAGGGAAAGCAGTGAGGGGATACCAAATTCAAACCTCCTTGGATTCCACATCAGCCTTGACATCCTCGGTGGTAGGGGTCTTTTCAGCGTCATCGTCTGAATAGTCCTTGACACGGAGAGCAAAGAAGAGTGCACCAGGAAGCGAGGCAACCAAGAGGGCAAAGCAAATGATCAGCTCCGTCATGAGGGGGGTCTTGATGGCATTGAGGCGCCAGGCGATAGCAGCACCGGCAGACTGGATCCCCTTGTAGTATCCGGCATAGCGCGAAAGCACTGTGGCATCGTTGGAAAGAGAGCCCATGAGCCAGTAGCAGTAGGTCTGCCACGCAGCATCGTTCGCACCATAGAGCATGTACAGGATGAGAGGTCCGATATAGCTAGCACCCATCTTCTGGAAGTCTTTCTTCTCCGCCAACGGCTCCGTGAACTGCTTCTGGAAGAAGATACCACCGACCCATGTGGCGGAGAAAGCGACCGAGATGATAGCAAGTCCAAGTAGGGCACGCTTGCGACGATTGAAGTCTTGCAAATCCAGAATGTGAGCGAATGACCATGAGCCGACAATCTGGCTTCCCCAGTAAAGGGCGCCGTTGAGAGCCGCGGTACGCTTGTTGAAGTAGCCGCCGTTCACCGTGCTGTGCTGATAGGAATAGAACCAGTTGGACGACAAGAACATGGGCGTCAGAACAAGCATACGCCAATCGAGGAAGAGCTTGAGGACGGATGTCAACTCAGTCTTCCAGCTCGGGTAAGGCTGGATCTTGATGTGTTCACCGTCGTCGTGTGTGACATTGTGAGGACTGACAAGCGAAAGGGCAATCAGAGAACCGCACATCATGATCGAGATGAAGACAATGTAAGTAGGATCGCCGAGGTTGCCTTGCGGAGCACTGTAGTTGAGGCCGAAAGCAATGAATGAGCCCAGGACAGCACCCATGTTGAAGATGGCCCAGAAGTAGCCGATGTACTTGCCCTTGTCTTCCTCCCGAGGGTAGGCCATCATCATGGCGCCTTGGGCTGTCCACAGGAGACCAGCTCCGACACCAAGAATACCACCAGCGGCGATGGTGAAAGGGGCGATCTTTTTGTGGTTGTAAGTGAGGAGTGAACCGGCATAGAGTGGATAGGCAAGACTGCCAATCAGGATAGTCCACTTGGGGCCAAGTTTGTTGTGAATGGCACCTGCGAGAACACCAAAGACACTGAAGCATGCGTACAGGGCCGAGTTTGCGTTCTCATCGACTTTGGAGTCAATCTGACCACCACCGCCCATTGAGCTCAATGCATTGAAGATACCGGAGGTACAGAAGCAAATGAAACCCACGGCAACCACCTGAGCTATAGGAGAGTTCCAACGGAGGCCCATGGCGAAATAATGATGGATAGTTGAGAAAGGCAATTGAGGAAGAGGGTAAAGACGGGTGAGAGGGAGGGTTGTGGAGTCCTAGGGATAAAGAAGAGAAAGGACCTTTTAAAGACATGCGGCGTTCACCAATGACCATGATTCTACAACCCTATGTCCCCTGATCTTGATAAGACAGCTTACGCAAAGTCTGTGGCTGTAGTAGGCGTGCATTTTTCTGGTGTATGGCTTTTGATATTGATCCAAGTAGAGATGGCGCAAAGAAGCTAGACACTCTGAAAAATAAAAAGCGTCAGTACAACAGCCCTTCGACTTGCTCATGCCATCTTCTAGACATTCAATTCAGTTTACATGGCCAAATAACTACCATTGGGAGTCTGAAGTGGAACTTTTTGGTTACATGAGATGGCGTTCGTCTGGATGCTGGATCTTACCTTCAGAGAGTGCTTGTTCCACGGCTAGCGTGAGGGAGGCATGCAAAATATGAGAAATCTCAAGATGCGAGCGCGGACGGCACTCACCCCAAGCCAAACTCAAAGACGCAAGGAGACGACCCACAGAAGCAGACTCAACCGCAGCCTCAGACCTTTCATACCAGCGCGGATGCGCAGGATCTGGCACCGTCCGCCACACATTGCCGTGATCTTTGGAGACATGTGGCCTGTCCCTGGCAAACCGACGCGGCAGGCGAATGAAACTCCGCTCGGGAGTGGAAAAAAGCAAAAGAAATGCCTCAGGCAGGGGACGATCCTGCTACCTTCTGCTTACTAGGCAGACGCTCTACCGTTGAGCTACTAAGGCTATGAAATTTTGTGATCTAGACGCGTGATAGACGCTTACGCAGTCACTTTCACGTACACTTCCCACCTGACCGTTTTACGTACATTCCCTCGATTTTTTTTCCTTGCAGTTTGAAAAAAAAAACCCCCCTCGATTTTTTTTGGAGCCAGAAAAAGTCAACGCACGCACTCAGGGACAACTATGGAGGGTCGACTTGTCGCGACAGACGTTGACAACACACTCATTGAGACGGATCTACGGCAGACGCTAAAGCTGCAATCCAATGCCAGGCTGCACTGGGCATGGACAAACCAGCGTCGAGTGATGCGCTGTATACCGGAGATGGAGTAGGCCGAATGGCGATCAGCGCTGTCTATTGTCCACGATAGACGACCGGTACACACGTTTTTCAGCGGGCGAAAAGACAGTGCCATGCGCGCACACAGGATCAAGAAGATTCTGGGCATGCTACCCACTCAGAATCTAATGCACGCAAGGTTGCCGTCAGCGTACGCGGATGGCTACTGTCGACGATGTGGTGAGGAGGAGGACAATAACCACATTTGGACGTGTCGCGAGTCGAAGGCGGCACAGGAGAAAATTTGGTTCGGGCTGGACGATAAGCTGGCGGCCTGGACGGAGGATGCGATCAAAAAAGCCAACAAGCCCAAAAAGAAACGG